GGGAGGAGGAGGGGGATGAGGAGGAGTAAATCTAATTACCACCCCCCAAAAAAATCTGAAAAAAGAAGAGGCAAAGTGATTTTCCCAAGGTCATAGAGCTAAGGAGTTAAAGGGAACATGGATTATGAACTAGATACTTTACATATACTAAAGCTGTTATGGAAATTACAATCTAACTAAATAATTATATTTAAAAACAGTAAACTCTACGGGGGAGGGTATAGCTCAAGTGGTAGAGTGCTTTCTTAGCATCCACAAGGTCCTGGATTCAGTCCACAGTAACTTCTCTTAAAAAAATAAATAAATAAGTAAACCTAATTACCTTCCCCCACAAAAAATATTAAAAATTAAAAAAAAACAGTAAACTATAACCACCTTTGGGATTGGTCTTTAAATAAATTTCCCTTACCTTTTATTCACGTGGCTTTTTGTATGTGCATCAATAACTGCACACACTGGACTGCAGTGTCAGTCTTATTGTCAAAGGAAGTCAAGTTAAATGGATCTTACTTGCAAAGGGTGACTAACGATGGGTGAAAAAGACTATTGTTTACGTTAGATGGTAAGTCATATGATGAAATAGACTAGTAAAGAATTCTATCCCTTGCAAAAAAAAAGAAAAAAGAAATAGACTATATGAGCCAATGGCGTACGTCGGCTCCTTTAACGCACTCCCCTCATCACTGCTGGTGCCCCAGGTCAAAAGACAAGTGTATCTAATTAGACAAGAAGTCCTTATCAGATCTACCCAGTGTATCTATTCCTCAGGCATAGAAATCAATAATATAATCGTTTCTGCCCTCAAAATTGTCAAAATACTGAATTTCTTCGTACCCATAAATAAAAGACCCAGATGCTAAAGTTTGGATTTGGAAAAAATCTTTGAAAGCATTCAGTCCAAGCCATCACTTCCGTAGATGACCAACTCAGTAACTATACAAAGAGGCTAAATTAAGATCAGATATCTGCAGTGTTACAGCGGACTTCACTGACTTCAGGTGTCTGTGATAACCCAGCCATGCTATATTTTTAATTATTACATACATTCTGAATATCCATAGCTTTGTATGTGAAATGCTACTTTCTTATATATCTGATTTATCTGGAGAAAAACTTTAAAGGCAAGTTACAACCAGAAGATAGATTAATGTGTTTCTTTTTTTAAACTCAGAAAACAAACAAAGCTAAGTGCCCCCTCCTTAATAAGTTTCAGGTTAGCTTAGGCTGTAACTAGCAGTGTTTACACCCTTAATTAACCACAGGACAGACGGTTTCTAGGCATTTTACTTTCCTTCAACTCTTTCCATTTCATACTAACTACATTTCCAAAGATAATTTTTGGTTCCAAAAATCGTAACTAATCTTATTTGAGTTATTTCTGCATATAGGATAATGAAATAATCTATATTCTCTTCTCATTACACTCTCCAACAAATATATGAGTTAAACAGGTTGCTTACAAAGATGGCTCTGAAAACATCAGTGTTACCTACACCCAGAGACATGGCTGGAGGGAGAGCGAGATGCCAGCCATCTCCTTCCTAAACATTTGTCAGAGGATGCAAAGAAGGTAGACAGCTCAGTAGCTGCACAGCTTCGGGGAATGCAGGGGGATGGTGAAAAGACCAGGAAAGGGGAGTAAGAGAAAAAGAGAGAAGGGATGCTGGGCAACTAAGGCTAGGTTAAGAAGGCTTTAAAAGAAGTGGGAAGCAGTAAGCCAAATTCTGAAAGAATAAAGGAATATAGTTTGGCAAATTAGAACCCAGAGGCAATCTCAGTGTCGCGCAAAAAAAAAAAAAAATTGAAAATGCCAGCTGTCGTTTTCAGCTGGAGCTGAGCTTTGCCTGCAGCCAACGCTGTCTCTCATCCTTCATGGTTCGGTTGTGCCTCCCAAACTGCCCAAAAGCACCCATGTATCTACTCTGTTGGAAGAAGAAAGAAACACGCAGGGGGAGAGAACAGGTCGGGCGGAGGCGGGGTGTGCAGTACTTCGTCCCATAATAACATTTTTTAAAGGTGAAAAATAGAAGCAAGACCCACAGCCCCTATTTGTGCTGTGTGTCTAGGCGGCACCAAGACTTTCTTATTCTTCGACACTCACACTCTGCATGTCACATTTAGAGGAAATCACTGCTACAAAGTTCTGACAAGCGCAGGATAGAGAGGTCCTTGGGCCTCTGACCATGGCACCTGGTATTCAGTGATTAGCATCTTTTGTTATTTCAATACAAACATTTTATTCAGATTTTCTAAAGCACTGAAAGGCTTTGCCATCAACCCCATTGTATGTAAAGGGGCCCTAAATGGCCTAATGCAGCCACATGTGGTCCCTGAGCACGTGAAACGCAGCTGGTGGGTATTAAGATACGCTGTACATGTAAAATACACCCCAGAGTTTGAAGCCTCATTAAAAAAAGATGATAAAATACATTACTAATTGTTTTTGCATAAATTATTTGTTAAAATAATATCTTAGCTATATTGAGTAAATTAAAATATGCAATTAAAATAATATTACCAGTTTCTTCTACCTTTAAAAATATAAGTACTAGAAAATTTCAGTTACCTATGAGGCTCATGTTATGTTTCTATTAAACAGTCCTTCTCTAAAGCCTATGATTCGAAGGCTGACTTCAGGTGGGATTCTCCTGACTTCAAATGTACTGTATTAAGTCACAACAAAAGCTCTCTCCTGGCTACACCAGTACCTTCTTAGATTAGCCAAGCTGACTCGCTTTATAACTATCAGATATTTTGGTCATTTCTCATGCATTCTTTCCACACCTAGTTATTGAACACCTTCTATGTGCCGGGTCCTGGCCTGGACACTGAGGATCTGGCAAACCAAAGCAGACGTGGGCCCGGCCGTCTAGGAGCCGAAGTCACGAGGAGGAGGCAGGCATTAGTCAGGTAACCACACAGACCAACACTTAACGTCCAGCAACGCGAAGGGCTCCGAAGAAAAGAACACAGCTGGCCCAGAAGTGTCGATGAGCTCTGAAGGATGGGAAGGGTTAACTCGGAGGCGGGGAGGAGGCAGCCGCAGAGACAAAGGGAACAGACACGGAGCCGTGAGGAAGGAGGAGCTGGGGCTGGAGAGCTGAGAATGAGATGGAGAGCAGGCCAAGAGGAGGCTGTAGACAGAACAGCCTTGGTTTTCATAACATCAAAGTCTCAGTTCTAAGCCTGTGCAAAACCTTTCATGGGCTTTAGGAGGGCGTAACAAGATCATATTTGCATTTTAAAAGCTATCTTTCTACAGAAGTACTAATAGTGTTTCTGAATAAGAAAGAGTCAGTTGGTGAAATAATTGACAAATGCAAGATGGTTCCTACTGCTACTCTGGTCGTTATTAACCCAGAAGTTGAAGGGTTCTAAGTCTTCGCGATTAATTTGCTGGGTGTGAATCTAGTACCTAAGGGAGACAGAGCGATTTAAGAGATTGCTTTTTGGGAAGTCTTGTCCCATAGAAGAGCTGTTTTCACAAATAGCCTATTTAGAATAAAACTTCTTTAATACGTGACTTGCCCAGTGTCTTCTTCCAATCATGTCAGTTATCAGTGATTCCCACATAAACCTAATAGCTGCTGTGCTAAAATGACGACCACGGGAAAGGATCCTCGAGTCGGGTATGCACATCAGACCAGACTCCTTCTCTGTGCAATTTAATGGGAATTGTTGAACAAATGAGCGACAATTCCAACAAGCAAAACAGCATGAAAATACCTCGCTGCCCTGCTTTGTTTCTCTGAACTAGTGTTTTGTTACAACTGTTTCATTTTATGAAGTCTGAGGAACAGAGTACCTTGCAGAAAATAACTCTTAAATGAAAAGTCCTTAGAAAAGTTCTGTTGTTCTAGCCATTCAAACGTGTGGCCATCAGAAAAGAAAAGAAGAGTGCCTTCCGTACCTGCCTGATCAGCTAAGCAAATTGATACCCAACTCAAGTGAAAAACACAATCTCAGGTGTAAAAATAACATGTTTTCTCAATGCACTCTCTCTTTTAGACATTCAGTATGGAACGTTACAAAGACAGTCCAATGGTTTTGTTATCACTAAGACAGTGATTAGGAAAGCAGTGAACGCCTAAGGAAGCCCCACAGATGAACCACCCTCGAGGTGAGAGGCACCTCAGATTCTGTTCCAGCCTTCTCTGCCCGTGTGATGGATGAAGATGCTACCTTGCTCTAAATCGCCAGCAAGTTGGAGGGACCATTGGACTAGAAACTGCCTCGCTGCATCCCAAGCAAATCAGGACGTCTTAATAGTAAATAAATGTTAAACAAAAGGTTCTACAAGTATTTTGCTATAAAGATACTTAATAACAATAATAAAAGCAATGATAAATATTATCATTGAAGAATTATTTACGGTACTCAGACATTGTGCTAAATAAGCATGTATTAACTCACTTCAGTCACTCAGCTACTACTGGTGGAGCTAGAACACAGCCCAGGCTCTGAATCCAGGCCCTTGACACTCATAGCCTCACCTGGCCTGGACATGAAGAGAGGAAATCTAACACACTATCAATGCACTCATCTTTGTGAGAAACTAGATGGAAACTACTATGCACTCCTAGAATTTCATAAATAGAAGAGTCTTCAGAGTAAGGGATGACACTTGAGTATACTACATATTGAATATTGAAATTTAGGTTGCAAACATTTGAGAGTTTGCAAAAATGTTTATGCCATCACACGAGATGAACCTATGCTTGAAATCGCTAACTGTAAAAATCGATCAAATTGTCATGTAAAGCAACGTTGAATGAGAATTTCACATCTCAGCTGATGAGCTGTGGCAATTGTTGGTCAAATTATTATACGTTCAGAATTTGTTGCTGTTTCCTCTCTGTACATTCATCAATAACTTTATGAGTTAGTTTTATCCTATATTTCAATGTCCATTTATGCATCTTTCTCTTGCCACCTGCCCCCAAGATCAAGAACCACATCCTTTTCCAATTTGTTCTTCTACAGCCCCCCGCCCCAAAAGGACTTAACACAAGGTAGATGCGTAATAAATGTCTAAATTATCACATGAAATGTTTTCTAGATTCTCATTTAACTCCAATTTTAAATAAATGTAAATTATTTTAAAACGGTTAGCTGTTAATGTTAATTTTTTAATTAACATAAACAATAATTTGCTTGTATAACAGTACGTATGCAAGATTTGAAATGAATCTGAGTTCAAATCCCAGCGCTGACACTCACTAGCCTGTGACCTGGGTAAGTTAGTTTAACCCTCTTTTCCTCAGTTCTCTAATGAGGAAACTGAGGATAATAATTACACCTCCTTCACAGAGTTGCCTAAAAGATAAAGCGAGTTCATTTATATAAAAAGTATGACGCACAATGCCTGGCATATATCTCAGTACTTCATGCTTCCACCGCCACCACCAGCAGCGTCCTCATCACGGAGACATCTTCATTACCACCATCATCAGTCTACCCAGCGTCATACCTGGTACATAGAAGGCTCTCAACTGTCAAATTGATTTGAGTTCTTAAAAACACATCATTGTTCCTTTAAACCAAAATGTGTGCAGACATCTTATTCACGTACATACTTGTTTACATCTCTCCTAGACAGGAATGTAACTGTCAAGGACTGGTGTCTGCATGTAACTGATTTCATTTTATTTAAAGGAGGTGAACAAAAATGGAAGAAGTTCAAGTTGACTTGTTAGATTAGCAAAAAGCACGATCAATCGGAGGCACAGCTAGACGGAGCTCTGGCTCAAAGGTTGGCAGCAGTAAAGCTGCTATTAGCACAGGAATGTTTTTGTCTGCTCAGTGAATCATTCAGCTTCTGGAAGAATCTTACCTAAGAAAGAGAAGAGACGGACATCCTTGAAACTAGTTTTTTAAAAAATGGAAGCAGTTAAAGTAGTCTCAGGGTTTTAGAGAGACGCTTGCTCTTCCCATCAGCTCTTTTGTTCCTGCCGAACAACAAAGTTACCTGTGTCCTTGCTCCCGTGCTGTACAGGCCGGCGGTCCTTCCCATGGCTGCAGCGCTCGGTATGCAGAAGAAAAATGAAGAAATCACATTGCTGAGGCCATGAGCCAACAATTCCTACAGGATTGATAATAGGAGACTGTCATTTCTCAATCACGACTTTCAGAGACCACGGGCAACACCTGTCACAGAACGAGACTTGTTTGTGTTCTCTTTCTGTTCTCTCCACTGTTGTAATTTTAACCATGATTTTAAAAATAGCCAACATTCACTGAGTGCTTACAATGAGCCGGAAACTGTTCTAAGCACTTGACTCATTTAATCCTCACAAGCACCTTCTGGGGAAGTACAAGGTATTTGTTGTATCTGTCGCCAACTTCTCCTCTTTTAAGTCTCCATAACCAAGGCTTTTACTGCCACCTCCACCAATGACCTCCACGGTGCTAAATCCGACGGTTAATTCCTGCCTCACCGGGCCAAAAAGAGGCACCTGACACAGCTGCTCGCTTCCTCCTCCTTAAAGGCTCCTTCAAGGTCCTTCCAGGACTTCTCACCCTCCTGGTTTCCTCTTTACCTCCTCAGCCACCACTTCTCAGTCTCCTTTGTGGTTCCTTCTCATCTAACCAGTCACGAATATTGGACCACTCCTCTCTTTAATCTTAGCCACCCAAATGCACATTGACAGTTCCCAAAGTTGCATCTCCAACCTGGACAACTCTCCTGAACTTCAGACCGATGGAGCCAACCTGCTGCTCCTCATTTTCATTTGGATAGTTAGCAGGTATCCCAGACTTAACTAACCAGGCTAATGCTCTCTACATTCCCGCGTGGTCCTCCCACATCCTTTCCTATCACAAGTTCCAGCTGCTTGGGCCAAACGCTTTAGAGATATTTCTGACTTTTCCCTTTCCCAGATGGCTTCCACATCCAATCCGTAATCTGTCCACTTCTCATCTCCTTCACTGCTACATCCTGGTCCAGGTCCTCAAATGTCACTTGGATTGTTGTAAAAGCCTCTTAACGCTTTTCTTGTGCTGCTGTTGCTGGTAAATAACACAGGAAAGTATCCCTGCCCTCACAGACTAGCATTCTGGTGAGGGAATGCTGACAAGAAACAAGATGAATATGGAAAGTAGAGCAGAGAAGGAAGTAGAAGTTTTTGGAGTTTAGGATTTTAGCTTACAGAGGAAGACCTCCCTGAGAAGGGAATATTGGAATAAAGGAGGCATGCGGCTGCCTGGGGGTACAGAGTTCCTGGAAAAGGAAACAGCAAGTGCAAATGTCCTGAGCCAGAAACATGACTAGTGGGCTCAAGGAAAAACAAGGCAACAAGTGTGGCTAGAGCAGAGTATAAAAGAAATATGATCATGGAGGAAGGTTGAAAGGTCAGGTAAAAGGCTCTTAAACTGAGTAGGACAGGAAGCCACTGGACGATTTTGAGATGAGGAAAGACACGGTCCACGTTATGGACCATTGTATCCCTTCTTCCTAGACCAGTGCCTGGTAGACACAAGGGTTCAATACACACCCTACCTTTTTCACAGATGACAAAAGTGGGACACAGAGAACATTTCAGAGTGAGAGTCAGATCTAGGTGATTTAGCACTTGTAACCACTAGTCCACAGCTACCTCTGCAGACCTGTGCAGGAATGTAGGACCATGGGGCTTGAAATAAGACGCCAGCAGAAGTAGATTCTGAAACATGATCAACAAAATCTCCATCCTTTGGTTTTCTAAGAACAGACCCTTGCATCCTTCAGTTTTTACGTTCTATTCCTAAGGAGAGTAATGTTAGTGTCATTTGTATTTTGGAATCCATAATTTTTAAAAGTCAGCATGCAGTGATCAATAGATTTGGATTCTCTCCTAAAAACAAATCAAAAAGAACATTAAGATGCTCTTCTCTAAAAACAAAGAAGTGTATCCTAAACCCATCCACGCAGGTCAGACTTGCACCTTTCCATGAATGATTTGGCGATTTTCTTTTGTTCTGTTCTACTCATTCTTGCTGTACGCTTAGGAAAGCTTATTTTTTATTTTACACAAGTTCAACATTCTCAGGGTCTGGGAGGACACCATACAAAGATACAGGAGCCATGGAGAGGTGTGGAGAGGGGCTGGGGCATACTCCACCTGGTTGTCATCAACTGAATATTTGAATTTTTTGGCAGATCCTTGAGCAAGGGCTAGTGAGGCCACATAGCCCACAAATGCCACTCCAAAAGCTTCAGTGATTACTGCAGAGAGGATGCGCATTGGGGGAACTCTGGGCGGAGGAATTCTGTGGAAAGAAAGAGCATATTGAAGTCATCAACTTTCATGTAATTTCTGTAACAACTTGCAATGAATTCAACTACGGTAATGACTCTGAAGTATACACAGAACATGTGAAACACCCCTGAGGAAACCAAGCAGCCTTGCCCTTAGAAGTCTTCTTCTCTGACATTACTTAAGAGCAAAGTCACAGAGAACACCACGGGACAGCTCCACGCATCTAACTGCGTTCACTCCCAGGGAATTCAGGTTACAGCACAGCAGCTCTGACTCAACAAAAAAGGTCCTGTAACAGAACAAGAGCAAAGCTGGAGCGCTCTTTCATTCGACTTTTCCAAATATTTATTTGGCTGGCATGAGACACTGTATTTCCTGCCTTGAATGCTGCAGTACTGTATCACTGAAAGCTACAATTCTTGAGCTAATTTCCCATATTTGCCATCGATTTCAACATCTTAATTATGTTTTTAATTTGATCCTTTCACAGAACACTTAACTATTGTTAAAAAAGAGACAACAGGTCCAAAATAGAGTCATTGTTTAAGCCTCACGTAAACAAGCCAAGAATTAATACCTAATTTAACGGCAGTTTCAGCCTCTCCCAGGAATGCAAACTCTAACCAGTCATCTGGAATCACCCGGTGAGCACTAGTGAGGTAATCTGCTCGTCTGTCTCCTGTAGGAACGTGACTTTGCCTGCTACAATCCACTCTTTTCTAGAAACTTCCTTTTCCTGCCCCGCTTCTGACTATAAGAGCCTTTCATTTTGTACAGTTCTTCATAGCTCCTTCTGACCTGCTAGCTAGGACACTCTTCAACTCAGGAATCATTGCATCAAGCCAGTAAGACCTTTAAATGTACTCAGTTGAATTTTGTTTTTTGACTCTCTGCATAACATGTTAAGGAAAATATAAAGTTTCCGTTTACCCTCTGTTGCCAAATATAAGGCCACAGTTAGCTGTTTCTCAGCTTTAAATAACTGTTTAAAAATTTCTTTCAACTCTCAGCCATTGTCTTGTCTTTTGAAATTCACTTGAGCCAAAGTATCACTGTTTATTTTATCTCCCTAATGATGCTCTGTGACACTTACCTCCCCACTTAAAAAAAAAAAAAAACAGAGAAACCCTCTGGGAGGAAAAAGAAATGTACACTGAATTTAGGAAACCATCCAAAAAGGTATAAATTGCTTTGTTTTATAAGGCTACAAGTCCAATGTGAGGAAAGAATAAGCAAAAAAAAGGAGATGCCTGCCTCCCCCAGCTTCCAGCAGTGTGTGTGTAAGAACAAACGGAGAGGTAATCGAACTGCTAAAAACTCAATGATGGAAACTATAAAACATAAAGCACGTTTCTATTTTTATGCAACCACATAAAAATCACAAGTGTTCATTAATTTTATATCTATGTATTAGCAACATGAAAACACTTATAAATAAACCTATTTTATTTGAAAAGAAAAACCCTCTGGGGCAAAAGCAGAAGAAAAAGGGACAATAAGTTGATTTAATACTGAGCAAGTAAACTGAATGCTTAGCACTTACGTACTAGCAATTTTATGTAATTCTCCCCACAATCCCCAAACCAAGGAGAAGAACATATTCTGAGAAAGTCAGGCAACGTGTCTAAGTCGCAAAGTGAACGGTGGAGCTGGGATTCGACCTCTGCTCCGTTCCTCCCAATACCACGCTCTTTCTGTGACTCTTCAAGAGGATGGTCACTCAAAGCAAAGGAGAGTTAGACTGAATGGGTGAGAGGCATGGCTTGTTTTAACCCACTTACTCAAGTATATCCCCAAGTCAGATTGATTTGTATCATTACAAGCCCCAAGATGTATGATATACAAAAGTGCTGCTGTAACAGAGCAGGACCCTGGGGCCTTCCTGGGACAGGCTCCTCCCCCATAACCTCTGCTGTAGCTCCTCTCTGATGATAGTGCCTCATGTATATTTCCTGAGTTTTTCAGATGCCAAAAACCACCAGCAAAGGGAAGAAATTAACTACTTGCTGATCCAGAGCAAGTAGCCCCCAGACCTTCTGGAGACTAGGGCTTCATAGTGATGACCACCCTGTTCCCTCCACATCAACCCATCAGAGAACTGCGCACGAGCTGATCACACACCCTGTGACCCCCTCCCCACACCTGGACTTTAAATATGCTTTGCTGAAACCCTTCAGGGAGTCTGGGATTTTCTTGGGCGTGAGCCACCCTGTCCTTGCTCGGCCCTGCAATAAACCTTTCTCTGCCCCAAACTCCAACGTTTTGGTTTGTTTGGCCTCATGGTGCACCAGGCACATGAGCTTGCCTTCAGTACCACTTCTACTTTTGTTTCATGAAAAGTGAGCTTGCCTAATTATTAATAACAATAAGCTGACATAAATAAATAAATAAATAAATAAATAAATAAATAAACAAACAAGCAAACAAACAAACAAACAAACTGATTTTTGAAGGTGGAAAAGTAGAGAATCCTTTAGAAAACCCAAGTTGATTCAGATAATCACTATCAGCTTATATCTGCATAAAAGCTTAAGACAGGATTTTTTTAAATTATCATTTTAATCTGTGAGAATTTTTCTACTGTTCCTCCATTTTAATGTAATCAGCAGCCAAACTATGTATATAGAGAGCAGGTTCAACAGCTCTAACTTTGCCCAAATTTTATAAATATTGGAGTATGGTACAGCCTATTAAAAGGGAATAACCAAAAGATGCCTCCCTCCTCCCTAAGATGACTTCATTTTCTTCCAGGCTATATTTGGAACAATCTTTCATCTTTTTAGGGTGAACACTTCTTCTTGTTAACTTTCCTGTTAGTTCCAGAGGAAGGCTCTAAGACAGGCAGGGAACATGACCTGTTCTCCATGCCCACCCTTTCTTTACCATTATACACCAGCCATGCCTATGGGTTTGCTATTTCACATGCTGTTTATGTACTTTCCCTATGTTTTGAGTGAAGTAAAAATAATCGTAAGAATACGTGAGTGGAATAAGGAGGACTAAATCCTAGAGTGTGACTCTAATTTGGAAATTCAATGTCCTCCTTTTTTTTTTTCAAATAATATTCATGTAACTTCCAAATCCTTTACCTGAAGCAATGCTATATATTAAAAAAAGTTACCAACTTCCTGAGTCATAGGTAAGCAGGATAAGAAGTTTTCTTTATTGTGAACTGTTTGTCTCTATCATTGTAAAATGGAAATTAATTGAAATTTTGTCCCATACAGAGCCTTTGAAAGAAATGAAACCACACCCACACACCTCCGGTTGTTTCCTCCATCAAAAACAAACAAACAAAGAAACAAAAAAGAAAGAAAGAAAAGGCTACATTACCCTTTTGGAATATGACCAACTACTTCTAGTCCATATGTGTTTTCCATATTGGTACAATAACAAGTAAATGAGGCAGCAATGATCTGTGTGGCACAGTTTGAAAAAAGAAAAAGAAAATTACTACTGGCCTCTCAAGCACCTTACAACTATTTTTAAAAATAAACATTGTTCACACGTCCCATAATTGTCAAGAGTATAACAGCGGTTGCAGAGATTTTTAAAAACTAAGAGAATTTCAAAAATTAAAAAATCCCTCTGGGATTTGGAAGCACCTAATTTTCTCAAAAATTAAACAGCATTTCAATAATGTGACTTTTCTTAAACCCTCCCAACTATATCAGTCCAGCTGTGTCTGATTCCAAAGGGGAGAAGAACCCAGGTACAGGAGTGTGTGTGCGTGTGTGTGTGTGTGTGCGCGTGTGTGTGTGTGTGCGCGCGTGCGCGTGCAGATACCACAACCCAGCCTAAACACTTGCCTCGTGATAGGAATGGATGCTTTATAACACAGCACATTTTCCCTCCATGACAGCGACCATCCAAGAGTTTAAGATGTGGCATCAATATTCCTAATGCAGTTAGTAATCAATGCTGATTTACAGTCTCCTTGAATAATTTTGAATTTTGAGCTTATACTGTTTCTTAAAGTAAAATACGCTCGTTGATAACATGCTCAACTTGATGCTTTTGAAATTACCTCCGTGGAGTCTCGGGTGCCTGACCCTCTGTTGTCTGACACATGATATGTAGTCAGCAAGGTCATTGTTCTCTGCAAGCACCTGTAATCACCTTTTAATTAACTGTATGTTCAGAATTCAGCTCAGCCTTTGTTTTGCCAGTCATGCCACCTTACAGTGTTCCATCCATTTTCACATTCTCTTTTCATTCTTCCGATCATTTAATAGGTACTGGAAATTTCACGTGGTTATCATAGCAGGTTGGTATCAGTTTGGAACTATTCCTATACTATACTTTTTTGTTTAAAAGAAACATACTAATTATCTATCTAGAGTACAAATTTACCACATACATGGTCAGAAAAAAAGATATGACAAAAATCACACTGGCAAAATAAGGACTATCTAACAATAAATACCAAGTAATATTACTTTGGAGGGTTTTTCCTGTGTATTTCTGTTCTCTGTGATACGTTCAACTGAATTTACAGAGGTTTTTAAAGCATCAAATAGTCTTAAAAAGCAAAAGAGCCCTGACAACCTTTTTAAAAAGGCAACAGAACTGTGTAGGTTATACTGTCAAACTTTACACATATTGTGATAGAATAGTAATAGTTAAAAACTCAGGCTATTAGGTTGGAATCAGAAGTATTTAATGTATTCTGATCTAAGATTAGAAGATTAATGGATCTAAGACAATTAATAAACTTTAATTGCTAATAATTTTCATGAGATGTTTATATCAGGTCAGAAAATATTGTGAGCTTGAAGAAAATATACCATAGCCACAAGACGCTGGATCCTTACTGAAAACGGAAGCATGCCTGGTGTTCAATACACGTAGCCACTATTAAAATTAAGTAGCCGAAGACAGTGTCTTACGTCCTCGCTGTGTTTCTTTACCACAATTAAGTTTCCTTCATCAGTCAAAGCAGCAGCCCCTTTGTAATACGGTTCAGTGCTACACACGTGGATGGCGCTGGTGCTGCCCTGAGACTCGGGGGACGGGTCCTGCCCCAAACGGCGTCAGTGTTTCAGAGGGCTCGAACCCGGCCCTCATCCACCTGTCGCTCTTGCATAAAATGAGAGTTTTGTGGAGGCGAGGGGATGCTCCCAGCTCAGACCTGTGCTCGTCTTTCTGGACAACCCCCCGAATCCTCAGGAACCTATCATTTCCTGCCCAAATGGCTCCAAGTCTGCTTCCAGAACACCTTCCCCAGGTCCGTCCTGCCAGTGAGGCCCAAGGGAAGGCCATGGGACTGTTGTGGGGGTAGAAGGGTGGGGGTGCGTTTGGAGCTTGGATACCGGGACAAGGGTGTCCACATGTACATGTGAACCCTTTGTAGGTGGGGGAGAGCTGGAGGAGGAAGACAAGAAGCCGGCCAAGGCACTGGCGTTCTCCTTGCTGCCAAGTTCTGACAGAACTCCAAGGATTCGGAGAATTCCCTATTTTAACCTGCCTTTCAAGGTAATCACTTAAGGCATTCTAGTCAAGACAGGAAAAACAGAACCTTTTTATGTAACATTTTGATGTATAACTTTAAAGTATTTGGGCCTACATTAGTACTTTTGCAAATATTAGGGGCAACAGTGTATATAAGAAGTACCTTTTGTTGTTGTTGGTAAGGATAATTCCCACTACTTTGAGCTGAATGAGTAACTGTTTTATTCAGTATTGAATAAAGCAAGTTCGAGG